AAGAAGTAAATAGTTTTTGTCGGCAAAACTGTCTTGAAGTAGAGAGAAATATTTTTATTGGATTTAAAGAGATGTATTCATAAGCCTGCTTGTTTACTGTATAATAGGGTTGCTTCGTGTCACTAGAAGTTTTGTTGCCTCCTTCTGAATCGCAGACAATGACAGCAATACAGTGCTGAGCATACCTGTACATTTTGTCTATTTTGTGATGTAAATTGGAGGTTTTACACATTACTGTGTACATTTTACTTTCATTGTGGTTTGACATGCACTCATCAATGTTGATGCTTTCTATCCCAAAAATATTAAAATAGCGTTGCAGTTCCCCTTTAATTGGGAAAATTGGCTCCAGGTATGGTGGTGTGTATATTTGTGTCTGCGTGTGATGGACTGGTGTCCCACCCAGGTTGTACCCTGCCCTTTGCCCCTGCCTTTTACCCTGGATAGGCTCAAACTACCCCTTGACCCTTTATTAGATAAAGCAGTTGAAAAATGAACAAATGAGTTGCATTAAACTGGGTTATCAGAACAGTAATCATGGCTTCAACACCTTTCAGACCAATTCAAGATTTGCACAATATTGTAAAGAAAACCTTTTCCTGCTGACTGAAATTGATATTGATAAGAATGCACAAAAGCAGCCTCCTCTCCCTCCCCCCCGGCCCCTATGGTGCTGAACTCTGCCGAGGTAATGTACTGTAGGAGACTGACAGTAAATCCTTTGCAGAATGGGCTGCCAACTGTAAAACTGCCATATTAGAAAGGAATCAAAGACCAAAACAGACTAAAATTTGTAATATAATAGCCTACTTTGAAAAAATGCTCACAACAATTACTACTGATTGCTGCAGGAAAACTTTGATTCAAAGCAATAGAAAGGAACCTGCTCTTCTGTGTTTTCTGAGTAGTGATAATTATTGCTCTTCAACGAGACTGAAGCACATTCCTGGCGGTGCTCAGTGTGGTGTTACTGCACCACCTGTGGCCTCAACTCCGAAGTATTGCATTATGGGCAGGGGGGTGGATAGAGCTGTTCAGATTGCCACACTCCTAAGATTCATTGCATTTCTGCCAAGGTGGAAGAAGTTATGAATATGCTGGAAGTGTCCATGACTTAAGGGACACAACATGGTGAGCTGTAATAGAGTGCAATTCCAGTTTTCCTGCCAGATGTAAAGAGGAGGGGTTGGAATCCCTACAGTATATCTACCAGATGCAGTACTCTTTTTTTTCTTTTGAAGTGAATCACTTCTTTCTTTTACACCCCTCCATTGTAAATGCTTAAATTGTGAACCTAATGAAAAGGTCAGCAATTGCTGTGATTTCAAACATGAATAGGATACGAAAGTAGATCCACAGAGTTTCCAAAGAAACACAGAACATTTAGTGGATATCACATATTTTAATTCAGTTTTTTATAAGTGTGTTATCTGTATTCTTTTCCATCAGAGACAACAAAAATGTCTTTAATGATACACAGACTGGAATTCCAATTCAAAATTCCAGAGAAATGTTTTTATAGTATTGATAGAATCTTTTCTTCCTTTAAATTATATCAGTCATTGGACTTCTAACTCCCTTGTGTGAAAGCTCTATACTTTTGTTTTTGGACATGTTTCTGTTTTTCCCTTTGATTTTTTTCTTAACGAAGAGGAGGTGTGTTTCCATCTCAGACACACTCCCTTCTCCCCCATTGCAAATTCAGCACAAGGATTAATTCAGTTTTGGTGTTTTCTATTACTTTAACTTTCCTTATCATGCAGTGCAGCAGACCTTATGTGTGACTGTATACTGTGTACATTTCTGATTATGTCTGTCCACGTGTTCATCAAGATATCAGAGTGTCTATGTGCTGCATGAAAAATCTTATGTATTTGTATGTGTGATTTGCAGGTAATTAGGTCTCTCAAAAATGAAATTTTCTATTAATTCACCTCTATCTCATCCACCCTCCTTTTTCTCATCTCACCATTTACTTCTAGGTCTGTCAACCCCAAACTTAAGGACTATCACCTAAAGTAGGTGTATACAAGGAAATTTTGTTTTGTTCACTAGAGTGTAATATGTACATTGGATCTCTTTTTTTACTCTATTTTAACAGAAAACACATTAAACATAATTTATGCCCCATGGTGTATGCTGCATATGTTTACAGATTAATTCAGTCTGATTAATTTGAGGTTGTGCCCATACCAGGAACTGGAAAAATCCTTTTGAAAAGAAAATGATGTTGAATCACAGGTCCATTTGTAACTCTTTCTGATTTTGATGTAGGCTGTATAATTACTGCAAAATTAAGAGTGAAGCGTGTATATTGGTTTTGTGTTAGTTGTATGTAAGAGACACTCCATTCTACCTTGACTATATAACATTGTTTATCCTGATGGCTGGTGGATTTATATTTCAAATAATATTTTTTATCTAATAAAGTAAATAGGAAAAACAGGAAATAAATCTTAAAGGAGATATGGTCTCAAAGTTTGTTATCCTTGACAATCCTACTTTGTTTTTAATGAGTAATTAGATGAAAGTATGGTCTTTTTGTTTGATCCATGATTGTTTGCCTTACAAGACTATGTCTCTTTAAGTATACACTGCAGTATGTATTCATTTTTTTTAATTAGAATATGTATTTATACATATTTTAGCTAAATTTAACCATTTACAACAATATGATGCAGTGAAATGACTGTTTCTAATAAATAGTAAACTGATACATACAGTAGTTGTGTTATTTCAATAGCTTCCAAAAGGTCATATTTTAACTTTAGTAGTCACCATAAGTCTGAGGTTAAAATGTAGAAAAAAAGGGAAACTATTCTGGTTGAATGCTTTATCGAAATCAAACTGCTGATGACTCTTGTATAAAACATTGAAGAGGGATCTGGCTAAAGATACAGAATCACTGGATAACCTTGAAATAACCTTAGATTGTAAATGAGAGCAATGATGATCTGGGCTGTGAGTTTGTTTCAATAGGGCAATATGGGAGGTGAAGATCAGTAACTTTAATTATCCTGAGGCTTCTAAAACATTAACTGAGAAAATTCCCCAGCTAAACAACAGTTAAACACAGTATTGCAACGTTAAACTGGGATGGATCTCAGTGAAATCAAAAATCACAAAAAGAGAAAACAATCTGCAAATGCATTGATATACAGTAAGTACAACAGATCTAAATTACTGCCTATCTAAAAACATAGACTCAGATTGAAACAGTGGGGATAGTCACTAGATTCTGATGGCTGCAGGAGGTTTTCTGATACATCCATTGTAATCTTGCAAAATTAGAATTTCTCGAAGCTTTCCGTTTCGTTGGGGACATCCAACAGCAATTATTTGATATACTTTGAATCTGCGTCAGCTTCCACTTGCCTAGTGCATTTGGCATTATGTATCCTTTACATGCATGCATGTTTTCTATCACAGCAGGTAGTCTAGCCTTAAATATAATTGGATTATTCACATTAATGCTGCAATTGCCAATGTAAAAAAGATTGTGCTGTCCAGAATTTTCTGATTCACATTGTAAGGTAGTCTGCCCAGGTTGCAGTTGTTCTGTGTGAATACTGTCACGATCGCTTCTCCTTCTCTTAAGGGTGCTCCAGCCCTTCCTTGTTCTGCCCCATTACCTGCACCTGTTTCTTATTTCCGTTCCACCTTAAAAGCCAGTCGCTGATGTCACTCCTGGTTCCTCATTGAATCCCGTTTTGTGAGGGTCCTGCTGCGGCTGGCTCCGTTATGGTTTTAACCCTTCGTTCCTGATTTCCCCCGCTGGTCCCGATCCGGCTCCTGGTTTTTAATTCCTTCGGCTGGATCGTCTGGCATTGGACTACTCTTCTATTTTGGATTCTACGTTTTGGATTTTGTCTTTGATTGTTCGCCCGGGACTCACTTCCCCCAGACACCTGCTCACCTTGGACACACCCCCCTGTCTCCATACCCTTCTCCTGCATGATTTTCTCCCTACTGTGTCCTCACCGACCGGATTGTGTCGTCTGAATAGGGCCCGGAAAGAACTGTTCGTGACAAATACCTTGAAATTATCCCCAGAGACTGCCCTTTACACATGTAAAATAGTTGCAGTGCAAAGTATTGAGACTACCTCACTGTAAAAGGTTGAACTACAATTGCTCTATTACAATTAAAAGTATGCATCAGCTTTTTTGCTGCATATTTTTGTTTGTTATAGTGAGTTTCTATATGGCTTCTTTTACTTTGTTTTCCCCTCCATTGTGACTGAAGGCAGCCTACAGTAGGTGACCAGACTAGAGCTGGCTGAATTTTTTTTTTTTAAACCTGCATTTTAGGTACATATGCAGGCCTAATCTGACAAACTAGGATTTTGTTAAAAGGAGCAATCAGATTGGAACAGAGTCTGAACTAAATAAATAATAAATAGAATAATGAGTAAACCTGACAAATGTAGGTTGAGAAGTGGAGTTAAGGAGAGTAAAGGTTTAAAAACTATTCTACTACACTGCAATTTTTGTGTGCCTAAATATACACAATGTATAGTATTATAAACAGATTAATTGGAGCCTGGATTGCTATTCTCTACAACTTTGCATATTTTGCTTTTCTATTAAAAGTCTCCTTGTTTGTATTACATTTATGAACACAATTGAACTCTTGACATAAAGTGTGTTTCATTCAAACAAGTTGTATACCTTTTTATGAATTAAACATTCTTCTTGTTGACAAGCTCCACACAAAAGATGCTGACTTTGAAATGCAAGAGCCTATGAGACCGTTATCATAAAAAGTACAGAGAGGGAAACCTTGGTTCAAATGTTCTCTAAAAGCTATTGCAGCCAGGTCACTAGAGGGCTTCTTTTAGATGGTCTCATTCTAATATGGCAGAACTATGTCAACATTAAGATACTTTGTAGTTCTTCCACTGACATGTAAAATAACTCTTAATATAAGTCTAAATGATATCATCTTCACATGCTTAGTGTAGTTTCTGGTAATTGTTTGACTGTTATTTTTCTTTGTAGCCACACAGGTCAGTCCTTCAGAGCTACAAGATGTCTTCCAGGAGACTTCCTCCAACATTTTCCAGATCAATGCCAATGGTAAGCCTCCCATCAAGTGCAAAAGTCACATTAGGCACACCAGAAGAGCTAGTTTGTGCTAAATTAAATGGGCAGGGATTTGTTGCTCTTTGTACTCCATATTTTATAATTGCAGTTACAAACAAGTGTACATTAAAGAATGCAGCATGTGTGGTGTTAATTTGTACAATTTGTGTTTTTTTGTGAAATAACATAAGGGGTTGTAGAATATATACAGTGGATATAAAAAGTCTACACAACCTTATTGTATTGCAGGTTTTTGTGATGTAAAACCAGAAATCAAAATCAATCACGTCAGACATTTTCCTATCTTTAATGTAACCTTGCAACCAAACCGATAATTATTAGGAAAATAATTGAAATTAAAAAAACCTACAACACCCTGGTTGCATAAGTGTGCACCCCCCTCCCCCCCCCCAACTAATGCTTTGTGGAAGCACCTTTTGCATTTATTACAGCAATAAGTCATTGTAAATATGTTTCCATCAACTTTGCACACCTGGATTTTGTAATTTCATCCCACTCTTCCTTGCAAAAAAGTTCAAGCTCTTTAGGTAATTCCACAGGTTTTCTATGGGATTGAGGTCTGGGCTCTGATTGGGCCATTCCAAGACTTTGATCTTCTTTTTCTGAAGCCATTCCTTGGTTGACTTGGATGTGTGCTTTGGGTCGTTACCATGTTGGAAAGTGAAATACCTCTTCATCTTCAGCTTTCTGACAGAGGCCAGCAGGTTTTGTGCCACAATATCTTGATATTTGGAGCTAGTCATTATCCCATCTATCTAGACTACAGCCTCTGTCCCAGCTGTAAAGAAGCAGCCCCTAAGCATGATGCTGACACCACCATGGTTCACAGTAGGTATGGTGTTCTTTGGATGATGAGCTGTGTTGTCTTTGCATCAATCATATCTTTTAGAATTACAGTAAGGCCAAAAAGTTCAACCTTTGAGACCATAAGACATTTTCCCACATGGTTTGGGGGGGATTAAATGTATTTGTTTGCTAAATTTAGATGGGCTTGAATTTTCTTGAATGTGAGAAATGGCTTCCGTCTTGCCACCCTACCCCATAACCCAGACGTGCAGAATACGGAAGATTGTTGTCACATGCAAGGAGTGAGCTGTACCTGCCAGAAATTCCTGCAGCTCCTTTAATGTTGCTGTAGTCCTCTTGTTAGCCTCCCTGATAAGTTATCTCCTTGTCCTGTCATCAACTTTGGAGGGTCATCCCAATCTTGGCAATGTCCCTGTTGTCACGATCATAAACCCTTCCTTTTAAGGACGCTCCAACCCTTCCTTGCTCCTTGTCCTCGTCCTATAAAAGCCAGGTGATTACTCTCTTCCAGGCTCTGCATTGGTTCCCGTACCAGGCGAGTCTGGGGCTTGGAAGCGCCTGGTCCTGTCAAGGTTTTAGTTTCCATTTCCGTTTCCGTTCCCGTGCCGGTCCCAACCCGGTGCTTGTTTTAATCTTGTCTGTCTGGGATGGATCACCTGGCTTTGGACTTTTGCTGCATCTTGGACTCAGCTCTGGATTGTTTGCCTTGGCCACACCTCCCCCGAACACCAGCGCACCATGGACACGCCCCCTGTTTTTATTCCCAACTCCCGCACACTTTTTTCCCCGTGTTCTCCCCACTCTAACCTGGATTGTGTCATCTGCATAGGGTCTGGAAAGAACGCTTTCGTTACACCTGTGGTGCCACATTTTCTCCACTTATTGATGATAGTCTTCACAGTGCTCCATGGTGCATTCAATGCCTTTGATATTCTTTTATACCCCTCTCCTGATTGGTACCTTTCAACAATAAGATCCTGTAGATATTTAGTTAGCTCCTTGCAGACCATGGCTATCTCAGTAGGATGCAACCACGAAAGTTTCAAGGAAATCCTACAGGAACAGCTGATTTTTATTTGGGGTTAATCAGAATCACATTCATTGATGGCAGGTGTATGCTACTTATCTTTGGATATGATTTTGAATGTGATTGGTTAACTCTGAACACAGCCACAGCCCCCATTATAAAAGGGTGTGAAGACTTATGCAACCAGGGTGTTGTAGGTTTTTTAATTTCAATTATCGTTCCTAATATTTATCTATTTGTTTTTCTCTTGAATTTTGTTGGTTACAAGGTCACATTAAAGATGGAAAAATGTCTGACATGATTGATCTTGATTTCTGGCTTTACATCACAAAAAACTGCAACTTCAATAAGGGTGTAAAGACTTTTTATATCCACTGTACATGATAAGTATAAGTTCCCTAGGCTACATATACATTACTCTGTGGAATGTTTAAAAGACAGTTAATTCCTATCAGATGGAGTCTGGTTGTGGATGTGACTGTCCACTGATATTGATGATGATGTGACTCTAGTTGCATTAGGCTGAGTAATCCTTAAAAATTTAAGTCTTTAGTTGAAGGCATGGAGCAGTCTTACCTTGAAGAATTGACATCAGGAGTATTTGCGTTAGCGCCATGTTGAAACCCAATGAGCTACAGACCTGCTGCCCATTACTATTGGGGTTTCTATGGTATATTGACAAAACAAAACACTAATCTGATTATAGAATGCTATAGAAATTTTCTTCATTTATATACAGAATAATTTTCCATCTCTGTTTCTTTCCTTCATGCACAGTTGTGACACTGGAGAAGAGCCTCCAGTCACTAGGGACATCCAGAGACACAGAAGAGCTGCGGCAAAGCCTGTAAGTGCAACACTCACCACTCTATTTGTGCTCAATTTCCATTCTTCTTGCAAGCTTTGAATGCCCTTCATTCAACAAAATGTTGTTCCTATGTAAACCAATTTTCCACATTGTTTCAACTTCAGAACACATATTTAGTTCACTTCACATTGTATATGGATTTTTCCCATATTTGAGGAACCTAGCTTATGTCAGTGGAAATATATATGTATTATAATGTCACAACTTCAGTACAAGTCACACAGTAATTTCCAGTACAATCAGAACCATTATGAGATTATTTTTCTTATGTGTATGGTTGACATTCTCATCTCAGTGGTGTTTGTCTGAATTTGAAAGTTTCATTTCAGTCTCCCTGAAACTTTTTGAATTGACAGGATTATCTAATTCATACTGTATCTTGTGCTTAATTAGATAATTTGACAGTTCTCAGTAGTTATGAAAAACTACTGCCATCTTGCTATTGTTTAACTTCATTATACACAACAATGAAAATCTATCCCCTCTACACTGGTCATTGCTTGATACAGTGATTCCTCTAGTGTCGAGATGGATTTTGAAAAATAATGTATTAATTCAAAACATGGCACAAAACTTGAATACCATTGTTCTTTTTTTAAAATTGATTTCTACTATTAAGTGCATCATCATTTCCTCTTTAAACTACATACACTAATATGTAAATATATTAATTGTATAATAATACATTACATATGATAATATAAAAGTTGGAAGTACATCATATATAACCATATTCTTTAGGCAAGAAGGTACCGAGTGGAAAGGGATTTTCTGGTTATATTCACTTTTGTCAGCATTTGGCTCTGGCTTATCCATTCAGGAAAACTTTATAATCAACGTGTGTAATGTGATCACATCGTAGTCTGCTTCAGAGGCTGTCTCACCCTTGGGCTTGTTCAGGATGTTACCTTAAGAAAACACCAACCGTTGTACGGGGCTGAGTGCCCCTTTTCTGTAGTGTTTGTGACTGTGGACTGTCACATCAGCTCTCAGACTCGATTTCTCAGCAAATCACCCAACGCTCCCCAGGGCACTGATCCATGGTAATGACTGTAAACACATAGGCTAATCGCTGGGTCACTGGCTTGTGGTGCATCAGAAGAAAGAGAGGGAGGAACAGAAAAACTCACCTTCTTCGCCATGCTTTCCAATTTGCCTTAGATTTGTTTTGCCTGTCCGTTAGCTTTCAAGACTGTCAGTAGTTTTTGTAGTTATTTATTGGGATTTTTACAATGGAAGCCACTTTGTCTTATTGCCTGACCTTGCAGCAGCAGCTTTTCTGTGCCAATCTCTAATCACACACCTTTTCTCAATAAATACCAGTCGACACACTGCTGGAGCCCTGGATTGCTGTACCTGATTCTATTATGCTTCCACAGAGCCATGCATGGCTCAGGGTCACAATTTAGTATCCTTCCCAGATGGCACAGTGTAGCTTAAAGGCTTACTGCTTCAAATGACTGTTGTGTATAGTGGCAATGTCACAGATTCATGTTGTCTTTGACAGTGCTATTGGTCAGCTGTACAAAATGTAGGAAAATAACAAAAAATGCCAAAGCTAAGAACAGGTCACCCTTGAGAAGCTATTATGCTTGCAGATGAAAAAGTCCTGCACTCTCCAAAGCCATTGGATGGTTGATAGGTTTTAGAGAATAGTTGATTTTTTTCTATATAATACAGTTCTGCAGGTTACCTACTGTATAGATGAAACTCGCTAAAATGATCTCAATGTACTCAATGGCACATATACATGGAATTAAACAAGTGGATAGAAAAGCACAGAGCACATATGTAGCATACTGTAATAATTTTTTAATTCCTTAAAATGATTGGCTATGGAATCAATGTATGCACCTTTCCTTCAGGGCAGTCATGATGCAAAGTTTAATACAGGGCGGTTCATTTAATTTCTGGATGAATGCAGGCTCAGTTGTATCTACAAGTTGCTTATAAAGGAAGAACAAGGCACTATTGTGCTTAACGTCATCTTGAGTACCATTTCATTTGGTAGGAGTAAATACATATTTTAATACCTGCTTTGAGAGCTTGAATATTGCATTAGAAGCTCACAGTAGTCACAAATAACACTGACAATGGAATGTTGTTTTTTTGTTAGAAATAGCAAAGGTGGTCATTGTGATGTATCTACCACATTGTGTGACAGAATGTGGGGCAGTGTCATAAAGGGAATATACTGTATTTTGGACCAAGAGTTCTGAGCAATCTCTCCCCGCTGCTAAATTTTGGAGTTTCCCCTGGCCAGTTTCAACAAGGAAACTACATTTCTGGCAACAGTAATTAGCTGAGTAACAAGGCTCAACGGTTAACAAATAGTTTTCCTCTCAAAATAAACTTTTTGTTTGGGAAGACTTGAATATTTGGCGTTTTGCTGATGGAAGGTGATTAAAGAGCAAAGAAAAGCTTCTGAGTGTTTTTAAGTGAAATAATATCACTTAAAATGAGTTAGACTTTATTTTTCTGAACTGGTCATTGTGCTGGATTCCCAATCCTCTGTTATATGTAGTAATACTTTATAATACTATAGTAATAACTTTTGGTTAGTTTTCCTGTGGTAGAGTGGAAAATGCAGTCAAATGATCCTAGGTGGTAGTGACGTGGTTCCCACAAACTCAATGGAAAACGCTCATGTGATTAACAGGGCAACCTTGTTCTCAAATTTGTCAGTATAGTCAAGTAGGAATAAAGGCGCATTGAGGTAAAATGACTCTGCACATAAAAATAGAACCTACTTGTACTCCAGGAATAGGGCCTTATTCATCTACTGTATAATCTGATGAATTGGGAAAAATGAAACTTGACCCTAGAGTGTTATTGAATTCTTCTAGCTTTTAAATACAAATGTGGGTTTATAAATATAAGACTACCAAAAATAACTGAAAAAATAACTTTGATGTAACACGGTGAGATACCTGATCTAATCAAAGCTTGTTTTCTAGTAATCCTGGTAGCGGATGGAGTAGTGAATGGTAGCATAAGAGGTTCTAGAAGGTACTGATGTTCTAAATATGTAAACGTACTGTACTTTTCCTAAATAAAAATAGGTTGTTTAGTAATGCATCCAGTGAGGTAGTCCTTATTGTACTCAAATGCATTTTGGTAACCATAAAGCTTAATCGTTTGGGGTGTTTTAAAATTAATGCATTTCATTAATGGGGGTGATGCAGAGCAGAATAATGCATTAAAGTAGCATTCTTTGCATTTGACTACAATAATAACTACATTATTTATGTAGTTTTTCACTTTGTGACAAATGTATTTGTTTAAAAAAATAAAAATAAACTGTATTTTTATACAGTGATGTCATGAAGTGCTGTTAAACGAGACTAGAAAGTTCAAACTGTACTTTTATGTATGTTTTTTAAAGATATACATTGCCTTGCAAAAGTATTTAGTAAATGGGTGTCCTGTTTTTTAAATGATAAAATTATGCATCCAAATTTTTTAAACTTAATATTATGTTAAAAACATGAATGCTCACGTGAGTACTTCTGCAAGATGTGGTGTAGCTGCTTTGATGTCTTTTCAGAAACATTCACTTTTATATACCTGGGCATTTCAACACCTGAACTGAACTGAACATGAACTTTATTGCCATATGTAACCGGTACTGGTACAATGGAATTCTTACTTACAGAAAGTCTCTCGATTGTAAAACAAGTGTAAAAAACAAGACAAAGTGCAAACAGTGCATCAAGACAATGTACAAACAGACAATAGACAATGTGCAAGTAAACATGTAGACAGTTTGAATGTAAACAATACAGACGTGTAAACAATGACTGGAGATGTGCAATAGATAAGAAATCATAAAGAGGTAGATGGTGATGGTGTAGGTGTGGTCCGAGGGGGATGGCTAAATGTGTTCGCCAGTCTCAATGCTTGTGGATAGAAGCTATTGAAGAATCTAGTGTTAAGTGTCCATATGCTCTTATATCTCTTGCCTGAGGGCAGTGGGGTGAAGAGCTCATGCCCGGGGTGGTGACTGTCCTCTGTGATGGCCAGAATTCCTTTTACTTTGTTAAAGGAATAGCATTAAAATGAGCTAAAAAATCTAAGAAAAAATTAAACATATTGTTGAAAATACTTAAACAGTTTTTCAGTATTTTGGAAAAATAGTATTGTATAATACATGCATGGCAGCTGTCATTAAATGCTGACACTGGTTACTACAGTACATGTTAATTCAGAGAATATAAAATTATGCAGAGTTAGTGTCTGTGCAAATATACAGTATACTGCATATTGAAACTCTACCCCTACAAATGAAATCTACAGTGTGCTAAAAAAGCAATTTACCAATTGGATACCTACATTACATGAATATACAGTGGTGTGAAAAAGTGTTTGCCCCCTTCCTGATTTCTTATTTTTTTGCATGTTTGTCACACTGAAATGTTCCAGATCATCAAACAAATTGAAATATTAGACAAAGATAACACAAATAAACACAAAATGCAGTTTTTAAAAGAAGCTTTTTATTATTAAGGGAAAAAAAATCCAAACCTACATGGCCCTGTGTGAAAAAGTGATTGCCCCCTAAACCTAATAACTGGTTGGGCCACCCTTAGCAGCAACAACTGCAATCAAGGGTTTGCAATAACTGGCAATGAGTCTTTTACAGCGCTGTGGAGGAATTTTGGCCCACTCATCTTTGCAGAATTGTTGTAATTCAGCCACATTGGAGGGTTTTCGAGCCTTAACCGCTTTTTTAAAGTCATGCCACAACATCTGTATTGGATTTGCATTTTGTGTTTACTTGTGTTATCTTTGTCTAATATTTCAATTTGTTTGATGATCTGAAACATTTCAGTGTGACAAACATGCAAAAAAAATAAGAAATCAGGAAGGGGGCAAACACTTTTTCACACCACTGTACATTAGATTTATCATGAGATACAGCAAAAATTCTGATGGTTTGTTGTTTTTTTTTGTACCCCAAAGTTTCCCGTTCCAGTGAC